CTGCCTGGCTCTGTGAACGCTGAAACTGCTGAGTCACACTCTATTTTTAAAGTGTATTATTTTATTGTGGTAAATACGTATGTATAAAATGTACCATCTCAACTGTTGAAGCGTGTAGTTCGGCGGAATCAAATACGTCCATGTTATGCATTCACCGCGCCCTTCTCCTTGCCTTGTAGAATGGAACCTGAATCCGCGACATGGTGACTCCCCATTGCCCCTGCTCCTAGCCCCTGGCAGCTACCCTGCCTCTTCCTGCCTCTGGGCTTTGACTCTTCTAAGTACATCATATAAGTAAAATCATACTGTATTTGCCTTTTTGTGACTGACTTACCTCAGTGTTACCTATAATGTCCTCAAGGCTCAGTCACGTTGTAGCATGTGTCGGGATCTCCTTCCTTTTTAAGACAGTAACAGTCCAGTGTATGGGTAGACTGCATTTTGTTTATCCCTTCATCTGTCGAGGGACATTGGAGTTGCTTCCAGATTTTAACTGTAGTGAATAATGCTGGACGTGGGTGTATACATACCTCTTGGAGGCCAGCCTTCAGTTCTTTTGGATTCATGCCCAGAACAGAAGTTGCTGCCCCTTATGGTAATGCTGCGTGTAGTTTTTTGAGGTGTTGCCATGCTGTTTTCCATAGTGACGGCTGAAGTGTGCTCTTTGAATGAGTAGACTGAATGCCTGTGAGTTATATCTCAGTAAGGCTGAAAATAAGGGCACAAAGCCATGTAATCAGATCTGACTTTGTTTTTTAAAAGTTCTGAATTATCAAAATGACATATACATGGCAAGAAGACAGAAAGAAATATAGCAAAAGTGTTCAAGTAGTTATGTCTGGGCAGTGGGAGTGTGGGTGTTTTTTTACAATGAATGTGCATGACTTTTCTAGTTGGGGCAATAGCAGACAAACAGGCCAGTCCTCCCCAGCACCTGCCCAGCTGCCCCTGTGACCGGGGTGGACTGGCCTCCTAGTGATGGGATAGGATATGTTAAACACAGACTTCAGTAGATCCATGCTACTGTGCTTTGGTTTCCAAGGGAAGCTTTTATTTTTTATTTATTTATTTATTTTTTGGGTTGGAGCCTCACTGTGTCCCCCAGACTGGAGTGCAGTGGCTGCTCCCAGCCACTGCAGCCTCGACCTGCTGGGCTCCAGTGATCCTTCCACCTCAGCCTTCCAAGTAGCTGGAACTACAGGAGCGCGCTACCACACCCGGCTAATTTTTGATTTCTTGTAGAGACGAGGTCTCGCCAAGTTACCCAGGCGGGTCTCGAACCCGCGGGCTCAGGCAATCCACTCACCTCGGCCTCCCAAAGTGCTAGGATTACAGGCTGAGCCACCGAGCCCGGCCCCAGGGGAAGCTTTTAATAACATCTGTCCCCAGAGCTACAGACAGTTGGACAGCTCTGCTTCTGCCTCAGCCATTGGACATGCCCCGCTTCCATGTGGATATGACCATCTCTCACTGTGTCTCAGTGCGTGTGTGTAGCAAAATGGTGGAATGAATATTCTCACGTTTCTTCCTGCAGCCTAATGGCAGTATTAGGAAATGTATGCACACTTACTCTAAAGCATTTAACACTTTATGACACTCATTGGAAATGAGTTCTTCTCGCTGCAGCCGCTGAGTCCAGATCTCGTTTGCGAAACTCCTCAGCTGCGCTGTCCATGTTGTGCTGTTCTTGGGTCTTCTGTTCCCAGTGAGCCTGTGGAGAGGAGCTGCTGCACTGGGGAAAGGAAATGTTGCTGAAACAGCCCGCTTGTCAGTTATTTCAGAAATGTGTTTACCCCATCGTGTGCTGTTGGCTTGGGCATGCATTATGAAATAGCCTTCGTTTTGTGCTAAACCAGCTCCTTCCTGTGAATAACTAGGTTTGTTAGAAAACAAACAAATGAACAAAAGGCTAGCAATGGGTAGACTCAGGCTGGGTGTGGTGGCTCACACCTGAAATCTTAGCACTTTGGGAGGCCAAGGTGAGAGGATTGCCAGAGCCTGGGAATTGGAGACCAGCCTGGGTAACATGGTGAGACCTCATTTCTACAGTTAAAAATAAAAAGCCAAGCATGGTGGCGCACGCCTGTAGTCCCAGCTACTTGGAAGGCTAAGGCAGAAGGATCTCCTGAGCCCAGCAGGTTGAGGCTGCGGTGAGCCATGATCGTGCCTCTACACTCCAGCCTGGACAACAGAGTGAGACCCTGACTCAAAAGAAAAAATAAGGGGCAGACTCTCCCTCATGTGAAGAGAAAAAGTCACCTGTTCTTCTACGTAGCCTACATAGATAAATAAGATACACGGTGCCCTGTGTGGGCAGTGGCTGTGGGTAAATGTTTACGCAGAAGTCTGTATAAATCATCAGGTGGGACCCAAAGACAATAACCTTAGAAAGGATTGACTGGTTACCTTTGGGGCTGGAGCAGAACTGTTCAGGCAGAGAAAAGTGATTAAAAAGACATATAACATATAGCTGGTAGCTAGGCTCGGTGGCTCAGCCTGTAGTCCCGCGCCTTTGGGAGGCTGAGGTGAGTGGATTGCCTGAGCCCGCGGGTTCGAGACCCGCCTGGGCAGCGAGACCTCATCTCTACAATAAATCAAAAAATCAGCCGGGCGTGGTAGCACATGCCTGTAATTCCGGCTACTTGGAATGCTGAGGCGGAAGGATCGCCGGAGCCCAGCAGGTCGAGGCTGCGGTGGCCGGGAGCGGCCACTGCACTCCAGTCTGGGCGACAGAGTGAGACTCCAACTCAAAAAAAAAAACATAAAGCTAGTGTATGACTGAGCATTCACAGATAGCTGTCCTTCTCTCCAGACCTGGTGAGAGAAAAATGTCTTAATTAGCAACGAAGACATCGCAGCACTAGAATAGCACAAATAGAATACAGTTGCCCAGTTGCAGTGGCTCATGCCTATAATTCCACTACTTGGAAGGCCAAGATAGGAGGATTGCTTGAGGCCAGGAGTTTGAGAGCAGCCTGGGCAACATAGCGAGACCTCGTCTCTACAAAACATCAAAACATTAGCTCCGCATGGTTGTGTGCACCTGTAGTCCCAGCTGTTCAGGGGCCTGAGGTGGAGGATCACCTGAGCCCAGTAGGTCGAGG